ATGAAGAAATGCTCAAAAATCACTGGCAATAAGGGAGATGTAAGTCAAAAACACAATGTGAAACTATCTCACTTGAAAAGTAGAGCAAAGTTTAACAGGACAGCAAGTAATAAATGTTGGAGAGGATATGGTGAGATAGGAAGTCTTATACATTTGTTGGTGGGAATGTAAAATGGTACAACCTCTCTGAAAAGTAGCTTGGTGCTTTTTCAAAAAGTTGAACACAGAAATTCCATATGATCCAGCTATTCCACTGCTTGGAATATACTCTGACAGAATGGGAACTGAGGCACAAATGGAGATACCAATTGACTGGGTTGAAAAGTTATGGTACTTTCACATCATAGAATATTATACAGCATGCAGGAAGAACTTGGGAGGAACTGGAGAGTGTTATGCTAAGTTAACTAACTCAGTCCCAAAAGGAAAACTATTGTGTAAGACAGTTATTGTAGAATGAGCATGAAGATCCAAGGGGTGGGGGAGAGGGTGGGAGCCGAGGGGTGAGAAGGGGGGGGAGCAGCATTAATCATAGGGTTGCACAATTTGATGGGGCAGGTGAAGGAAATGGGAAAGATCCAGTGTGAAAAACAGTGCATACGAACTTGGTAAATAAACCAGTATAAAATATTTTTTAAAAAGTAAAGTAAAAATAACCACAAGATAAAGGTAAACAATCCAATAGAAAATGGCACAGGATATGGACAGACACTTCACCAAAGAAGACATTGAGATGGCAAACAAACACATAAAGAAATGTTCAAAATCCCTAGCTTTAAGAGAGATGAAAATCAAAACAACTATGAGATATCGTCTCACTCTAGTAACAATAGCAAAATTCAACAGAGCAGCAAATAACAAATGCTGGTGAGGTTGTGAAGAAACTGGAACCCTCATTCACTGCTGTTGATAGTGTAAAATGGTGCAACCACTGTGGAAGGCAGTATGGTGCTTTCTCAAAAAGTTACAAATAGAGATACCATTTGACACAGCAATCTCACTACTGGGAATATACCCCAAAGAAACCATAAATGTCACCCAAGCAGATACATGCACACCTATGCTAACACGGCTTTGTTCACAATAGCAAAGAGTTGGAAACAACCTAAGTGCCCATCAATAAACGAATGGATAGAGAAGCTCTGGTATAGTCACACAACGGAGTACTACACTGCATAGTGGAGTGGACTTGGGGGAAGGGATTGTTTAACAATGAAAGAATTTTTCCTTTACTTTTCAAAGAGAAGAATGAACTGGGGGAAGAGGGGTGGGCAGGGAGAAAAGTGCAACAATGAATGAATGGAAATCCAAAGTTTCTGTAAATTTTCATTAAAATGAATAATAATAAAAAA